CCTCCCCCCCGCCCGGCATGCGTGGTACCCACTTACGGGCATTTGAAAGTTTTGGCAGGAAAATTGCTAGCTCGGGAACCGGAAAGCTATAAAGTTGAAATCGTAGGGTAATTTTCCCTGTCCAGGTACAAATTAAATATTTCAAATTCAATCTCCAGGCACGCGTGGTTCTCGTGTGCGGATTTTTAAAACTTTTGGCGGGAACATTGTTTATTGGATAGCTAGGTCTTTTCCAAAAAACGTCCGTTGAACGGAAATTGTTCATTTCCCTTGCGCAAAATTCCCGATGATTTACGGTAGTGAGCGCAAAAGATAGAGTTTTAAGCAACAACCAGTCTTGCTCTTAATGACCTGAATGCTTCAAGACCCATACAAAAACGCATGGTCGCATGACCGGCAAGTCTGATGGATTCCAGCCTTGGTTTACATATTTTTATGCGTTTTTTGCAGCTATGCAATGCAAAAACGCATATTGACGAGGGGTTGTCTGCGTGTCCGTGTGTCTGTGTGTGCATCTATCACGCACTTTCATCTCAAGACGTATAAAAGCTGCAGGGCTGAAATTTCGGGGACTTAATCTACATGCACGTGCCGGCCCCAGTCCTCATAAAAATGGGGGCCATTACCCGCTTGGTACCCACGTACAGACCCGCTAAAATTTTTTTCTGGTAAGTTCATAACTCGGGGATCTGAGAAGCTAGAACTGAAATCTTAGAGGGATGTTCCCCGTCCTGGTGGGTATTAACGAGTTCAAACCCTGCCCGCGGGTTAACTTACGGACCTGCCGGGCAAGTTGCTAACTCGAGAACGTGAGAAGCTGGAAGACTGGAATTTTGAAGGGATGTTTCCTGACAGTTCTGCTAGCCAATCTGAAATTCTTTTAGTTAGAAGCATCTGCCGGAAAAACCAGTGCCGTTAGCGACAAAAATCTGCGGGGAGCTATGCAAAAAACGCCTCCTCGCATGGGCAGCCCGTGCGTTGGCCAATTATTTCAATCGTTAACTTGTGCCCATTACAGGAGGCGTGAGAAGCATTGCGACTCTGTCAGTTTTTTCACATCTCTACAGGGCGATTTCATTTCGAAGCAGCTCCTACTGCATCAACGTCAGGCCACTACAGATTTGCCAGTTCAATTGGTGCAATCCCAGAAGTGCTTCCGAATTTTCCGCTATGGCAGGTGATAAGGCGAATGCAGCAGCTGGTGAAATTAGAACCAGTCCTAATGCGCAACAAAAATTAGTAAATATTTCAGAAATTTTAAAAATGCAAACATTGAATATCTCTGGCTAAGGGATTGAAAGAAGACGAGGGCCTTAAGCTTTCAGTTTGTTAAAATACGCGATTTATTTGGCATTACTGGCCCACTGTAGAGAGGAACACAATCGAATTTTGACAATTAATGAAAAGCTGAAAGTGCCATTTAGATCTCCCAGATAGGCGAACCTGTAATGTACACTGAGCTGTTATCTTGTCTATGTCTCATCCCTGAGCTGTAAACACAGACAGACGGCAGAGTCGGTGCGAAATGGGCTGGGAATCGTCAGTACAGTCCCCCATTCCGCCATATTAAAAGGAACATTTGGATTACCGAAGGAAGATGAAGAAGGAAAGGGTGGAAATAAAGGTGATTCTACAGAAGAGTAGGCCTTCAGTTTGTTAAAATACACGATTTGTTTGGCATTATTGCCCCACTGTGGAGAGGAACACGATCGAATTTTGACAATTAATGCGAAAAACTGGAAGTAGTGCCGTTTAGATCTCCCAGATAAGCGAACCTGTATGTACATTGAGCTGCTGTTATCTTGGCTATGTTTCGTCCCTGAGCTGTAAACATAGACGGCAGACTCGATGCGAAATGGGCTGGGAATTATTAGTACAGTCCCCCATCCCGCTATATTAAAAGGAACATGTGGATTACCGAAGGAAGATGAAGAAGGAAAAGATGGAAATAAAAGTACAATCGTACAGAAGATTAGTGCTGCAACAGTAGATGAAAAAGTAAAACGAACATGAAGCAGATATGCCTCTGTCTTCGCCCTTTTTTCGTCAACTGTAGCAACCAGGTTGACCTGGGAAAGCCTTTAGGCACGATAGATTAGAGCATGAAAGAACAGTGTAAGAAGGTAAGAGTGAGATAAGACATTTCGGTCCATTAAGTCATATCGTCTTAACACTGCGTGACAGGACTTCGTTAGTATGACGGTGGCAGTGTTCAGTGGAAAAGGAAAAGAGACAAACGAAAAGAAGATGTGATTATGGGATTTTGAGCTGATTTTGAATTTGCCGATAAGTTTTGAGCGGAAAATAGTTTGTCATCAGTCCTATGCTCTAGGGGCGCAGTCTGTTTCGATTACTGTTACATCTTATCCTCGTTTTGCAGAAGT